TATACTCTCTCTACAACAAAATTAGAAATAAGGGCAAAATAGTTTCTGCTGGGTATTGAGGGGGTGGGGGGGAGAGGGAGGGGACGGAGTGGGTGGTAAAGGAGGGGGTGGGGGCGGGGGGAGAAATGACCCAAGCCTTGTATGCACATATGAATAATAAAAGAAAAAAATGATACACATTTACATAGAAATACAGACTAGAGTTAGAACCCAAGAGTATGTGAAAACAAGAATCCCAGAAACCATACAGAAGAGGAATCAATTTCTTCATGCAATACATGAAGAAATACTGGAAGACAAGACAGTTGTGTTTTAGCAACTGCTAGAGAAAGGCTTCCCATTCTACAACAAGCTGGGAGAGTCATCTAGCAAATCATTTCTTTTGAACCTCAAAGGCAAAACTGTGAGACCAACCTAAAAGACCTTAGAGTTTCATTCTTTTACAATTTCACAGAAGACCACTTACAAGAAGAGTTTTTTACTTCTAATAAACATTTGATCTTTGCTTAACTGAATTGGAGAGGGGAATTCAAGGTAAAAATTATAATAAATAAAAATTTTTAATAATTAAGTTCTATAGTAATAAAACCAAAAGCCTCAAAAACTAACAATGTCAATGTTAATAGAAACGTTTGGTTAGATGCTGGCAACTATGAACTAACTAGACATTAAGTTGGATGATATGACAACTAATTCTTCCAACACTAAGATGCTATGAGTCTTAGATTCAACTTAAAGAATTCCTCTCTTCTAGAGTCTATTCACCATTTACCACTGCTATAAATCAACCATTCTAGGACTTCACAACCTTGCTGACTCACTTCCTCTATGGCCATTCATGTCAACTGTGGCTGTGCAAGTCTAGCTTCCTGGATATGGCTTCTGGCTCTTGACTGTGCTGAATGGTCTCCTTTTTGGTTATATTCTGTGTTATTATTTTTTTTTTATGTCTTGGAAGGTTCTTTTTATGGCGGGGAGGTGCAGTACTGGTGTTTGAACTCAGGGCCTCACACTTGCTAGGCAGCCACCAGCCCCCCGGGAAAGGTTCTTGAAAGTGCTCAAAAGGCTCCTTATGACCTTTTAATAATACTGCTGGTGACAATATGGGCAATGTTACCTGCTCTTTTACTACGTGCCAATGTGTATGATCACTGCATTATCTCACTGAATCTTCCCAGATCCTATGAAGAATGTCATGATTAAATTCCTTTTATAAATAAGGACACTCAGGGTCAAAGGAGTTAACTACCTTGCCCAAGATGACCAAGCTATTAAGAGGCAGAGTCTGGGGGCTGGTGGAGTGGCTCAAGTGGTAGAGCACCTTCTAACAAGTGTAAGGCCCTTAGTTCAAACCCCAGTACACACACATACACACATATACACCAAAAAAATAAATAAAAAAAAGCAGAGTCTAGCCTTGACCTCTGGTCAGACTAACTCCTTTGAAATTCCCATCTTAACTATGATTCTGTACTACAGTGATTCTCACCTAGGAACTTGTTAAAGATACTCGGCCTTCCAGATAGTGAGTCAGAAACTGCTGACAGGGCCCAACAACCTGTGGTTAAGCGAGGTGACATAACAAGGTAATTCTGATGCTACCTAAGTTTTGAGAACTATGCATACCCAGAAGGCCACATTCTACTCACTTAACCACACTTAATTTGAAAGTTTATGCTAGTTTAATTTTTCTCCAAGGGGAAAGAGAGAATCATAAATATGGGAAAGTCAGGTTTCTTTTTCCTTCCCTGAAACAGGAAGGTGATTTCCTGTCAATCCTGGTGAAGAGACAAATGGGCTGCTGCTTTAAAATATAAATAAAAGGGAGAAAAAGCAAATGCTTTTCCAGTACAGCTATGCTGTAGTGGTGAGACATGAAGAGTCTTGAAATTCCCCCAAAGCCTTTATATAATAAATAACATGAGTTATCTGCTTAATCAAACTATGTAAAATAAAAATACTTCCTACATGCAGCTTTTTTTTAAAGAACATAAATCTACACTCTTTTGCCTTTGTTAACAGAAAGTGTTTCCAAGGTGGCACAATGAATGGCTGTTATCTTTGGCTTTCTTTAGTTTAAGAAATGAAATCTTTTTCAGGTTTCTAACTCACGCTGGCTGGAATATGACCTTGGTCTCTCTCGAGCTTATCTTCAGTGGGTAGCACCTACAGCTCTGCAAATCAGTCCATAATCTTTTAATATCTTCTGCATGTGCAGTTTTAAAGCTTAGGCATGGCACAGAAATCATCCTTTACCTCAAGGACTCAGGATTCTTATGGCTGGCCAGATACAAGGTTTTCACAAGGACAGTGGGAATCAATGAGTGGTATGCTCAAAGCTATATAAAGCAGGATGCTTCCTCTAGTTGTGCCTGAGATAAGGAATAGTGGCTTCTATTTGCATAGAAATGATGCAAATCAGGAGCTTTACATATACTTGAGCTCAGTGCAGTTCTCACACACAGCACCACACCAAAGGTAAAATAAGCATATTCTACCTGGAAATCTTGACTAACTAAAAAGTTGTCCTGGACTGAAATAACACATGATTCTCTGAATTACCAAAGGATCCTCTTGGGAGTCAGGGTTTGCAATCAGTATCAACTTTATTGACCCTCTTTCCAAAAAGGATGGAACAGAGGCAGTAAACTAATGCATAGCAGTTGGCAACCATCCTTATAACACCATGGAAATAAGGATTTCACTAGCCCTTCCGCTATTAACTGAATATGGAATGCTCCCAGATTCATGTGTTGACTGTTTGGTCCCCAACTGGTTGCACTATCTTCAAAGGTTCTGGAAACTTTAGATGGGGCCTAGTTGAAGGAAGTAGGTCACTGGAGGTTCTCATTCCCTTTCTTACTCTCTCTGCTTCCTGTCAGCCAGGAGGTAAACAGCTTCCTCATCTACATACTCCTGCCACCATGATGTTACATCAAAGTGCATGTGATCAAACACCCAAGGAATGAACCCCATGAAACCATGATCCAAAATAATTATGTTGTTTCCATCAGGTATTTGGTCCTGGTGCTGATAAAAGTAATGTATCTTCTCCTCCAAATACATCTACCTGAGGCTTTCATGAAATCCCAGTCCTCAGGAATATAGGAAGGTGAAAGGAACTAGGACAGGATAATCATCATAGGTTTAAGGAGTGATCTATGTATGATCTTCTACTAGTTAAATGCTTACTTGAATTGTATGTCCCACCACTTTCAAGGAAAAACTAGAAAAGATTTTTATAAAACTAAAATAATAGACCCTGGCATTATAATCATTCAGTATAAAAAAGAAAAGGACAAAGAAAATATAGTGTTACCTATTAAGAAAATTCACTCCTTCTTTTCATTGCTCATACACATGCTCAATATTAAGAGAGCAAAATATATGCCAGCTAGTCTACAGCTCCACATGTCCCTCCATAACCCATCCCCAAGAAACAAGAGGAAATGATTCAAAGTGAAAAGAAAAACACAATTTTACAAAAAAGGCAGATGATTAAATTATCAAAGCATGCTTCCAGGCAAGACTCAAAAGCCAACAACTGAGCAATGCTTACTCCTGAGTAGTCTGGTCAAGTACTTACCCAGCCCTCTCTCAGCCTCTTCCATCTCCAGTTTTAATTTGCTTTCATGCTGAGAGCTGAATAGAAAGTAACCCTGCCAACATGCTCTCTAACCAATGTAAGAAGACTACAGATATTCCACTTAATAACAGACAAATAGAATCACTTTAAAGGTAAAAAATGCATGCTTTATCTGTTGTTATTTACGCTGTAGTAGGTATTTTGTTTATGTCAACTCAGTAAATTTCACAATCTCATGAACCTCATGCCCAAGAT